AAATGCAATTTTTCAAAATGCAATTTTCCAAAATGCACTAAAAATAGTTGTTCGCTCAAGCGAGCCTTTAGTTGCTCGAGCGGTCTCTAAAAGACTACAAAAGTACTAGAAGCCTTTAATGTGCGCTCGAGTGGACTAATTGCCACTCGAGCAGTTTCCAAAATTCCAGAATTCTAAATTTCTCAAAAAATAGCCTCCCAGTGCATTTTTAATCTTTAAACCCATACTAATCTTCATCAAAACTTTGAAAACATAAAAACTTGTTTATTTATAAATCATTTGCTCAAATTCTCATGAAGTTGTCTAAATTTAAATCAAAACTTCATGCATGCAAATATTTTCAACTTCTTTTCCTTTGAAACATAAGTATGAAATTAAACTGGAAACTCATGAATTTTTCTAAAATAAAATTCAATACAAGAACTTTCATTCATCAATACTTTAAGGCCCCGTTTGTTTTCAGTGATAGAAGGGAGATTGATAGTGAGGGGATTAATAGTAAGGGGATTGTTAGTGAGGGGATTAGTAAAATTGTGTTTGTTTGATAACCAATGGAGTAGTAATAGTTCATGTTTGTTTTGAGAGATAGCGATGGGATTAACCATGTGAAATTCCACAAATACCCTTATTTCATATTATTAAATTTGGACTTATACCAAGTAAAGAATAAATAAATTTTTACTCAATATTATTCTTCTTCTTTTTTTATTTTTTTTAATATTAAAGAATCTAATTATCAACAAATTTATTTATTCAATGTTTTTTTTAAAAAAAAAATTTAATATTAATGAGTCCAATAGCAAAGCCAATTTGCCACCCAAATAGTAGATTTGCACCCCATTTGATACCTCAATTGATAGAAATTATAAGAAATTTCACAGGGCATCATTTTCAATTGTAATAGATTATTTTACTCATGAGAAAATGCATCAAGAGAAAATGCATATGTAAATGAGCCCATGATGTAGTATTGCAGTCTCTATGTCCATGTGCTCCCAAGATGACAGAGAAACCAAAGGAAATAAAGAATTATGAAGAAGAAATGTCAGAAAGGTTCAAATGAACAAGGGTAAAAGGACCAAAAAAAACTCACTTTCTATTAGTTATGTTTTACGAGGAAAATATCAATAACTTGCATGAATGCATTATAGTGAAGTGTTTAATGATCAAGTTGGTTTGGACCTTGATAATTTTGAGTAGAGAAATCCTTAAGCAAATATAAGATTGCCCAATAGACAAGCACAACCGATCGGTATTAAATTAAGCTCACAACAATAACTCAGTTACACTGACCCATACCAGCTAGTACTAAGGATCAGTGCAAACTGATAAGACATCTGAATTTATGCATAATTAAGTACTATTCGAATCCTATTATATTTATAGCCACATAAAAAGCAGGATCTGAAAACTGTTGAATGGAATTTTCATAATATGCCCTCCAATGTCCTGCAGCATATTATACTCTTCTTTTGATCTTCATCTGAAGAAACTACTAAGCCACTATTACAAAAATAATCTATTACAATTTAACTCATGATTTCCTTTTTCTCATACATTCCAAGCCCTGCTGCATAACAACAATAATACATGAACTGCAGATTTTCTACTACCAAGTTACAAAAACCAGCCCAACACAGGAGCAACATTTACTCAACAAAAAGACCATCATAAAGTATTGTAGCAGCAGAAACTACCTAACCTATAATATTTATGCATCAGATAATATATTACAAGTCATGTGGGAAACAAAAAGACCATCATACAGTAGATGTCACATTTAAATATGACCTTCCAATAGCAAAGAAACCCACTCCATCTTGTCATTCTCATCTAAACTGAAAAACAAGTCAACTTTGTCTTCATCTTTCACTATCATAAATGCTTCCATCAATCTTTGGGTATTACTCATTGGCAACTTCAGAAGTTCTGCATTAACCAACCTCCACTGTTAGGATAGGTCATGTGAATATCCTATCCTATGAGCAATCTCCACCATCATAGTATTAGTATTCTCAATGAATGATCTAAGATGTTTTGCCATCTCTGATAGTTCAGTGGGAATCCCCTCAGCAGGTCGAGCCCGCTATTTCCTAGTTTTAGTAGAGTCAGCACGGTTGGGAACATTACCTGCAGTAGAAATTGAGTAATCTGTATCACCCATGTTCATACTAAACTGTTCAACAGGAGACTGTTCTCTTTCTTCTGTAGTTGCATTTGCATCCACTTTTTCCATGGCTGTAACTGCATCAGCAGGATCCTCAGCCAGTTCACCAATCGCCCTATCCTTCCCAAATAGAATAAGCCAATCTTCATATAATGGGAATGGCTTGTTTCGCATCCCTTTTGCATCTGGCACCCTCTACACAAGTGATTATCTAATTATTAAAAAGAACAAATTGATTTATAAGTACATAGACATACAAATAACAACATAAAAATGAGATTTACCCTGACATAGTTCTGCCATACGTCGTCACTATCAACAAGCACCATCTCTTGTTCATCATCCCAACCAAAACCACTTATGTTTAACATATCTTGCAGAGTATTATATTGTTTCCTCCAAAATTTAATCTTCGAGTCGATGTGAGGACTGGCTCGAAGATCAGTTCTAGGAAATGCACTTAAGATCTTCTCCTCACATTCATTGTAGAAGCCTGCCCTAAATTGATTATTATCAAACTTCCACCTGGGATTACTTGCTATTACATCCTTCATGGTTGTAATGAGGAATACTTCCTCACAGTGATTCCAAAACCTTCGAGGTTTCCCTTTCTTACGAGAACTAGTGGTACCTATATCATCCATACCTATATATATGTATATCATAAGTTTAAATCATAACACACATGTCAATCATAAATAACAAATCAACTTACGCAATATTTGTTACAAATACCACACAAAAACTAAACAAATAAGCTTCTAATTACATGGCATAATAAACTCTCACTATTACATAAAAATCATCATACAACACTAATTTATTGACCTCTGCTTGCTTGCCATTCATTAAACATTTGGGTTGCCAAGGCAGTTCTCCATTCACTCCATTGATCAGGTGCTTCAATAATATCAATCATTTCGTCTCCTAATTCAGTATCTAGAGGAGGAAGATTCATTTCCTCGTTCTCATCATCATCAAGATCCATAAGCATTTCACGTTGTATAAGATTGTGGAGAAGGAAACAAGCAGTGATAATACGAAATTGAGTCTTGATTGGAAAGTAAGAATAAGTCCTCAATATTGCCCGCCTCATTTTAAGTAATCCAAAACACCTCTTAATGACGTTACGAGCAGAAGAGTGCCTCATGTTAAAAACTCTTGTGGAGTTGTTGGGGCACTCCCTTCTCTCCATGTGGAAAGATGGTAACGTTGTCCTCTATATGCTGCAAGAAAACCCTCCCCATTTGTGTAACCCGCATCTACGAGATAGTAGTGGCCTGTAATTATGTGTAGCCGCGCCCGCGTGAGGGCCTCATGCTACAGCTCGGACTCGATTTGTGTCACGGTTCTTAATCTGAACCAAAGAGTCCAAATCCGGCAAATCGTTTTGAGAAACAGATTTTTAGAAAAAGAAGTGCCAAACATGGACTGCTTTTGCCAGATATAGAGTCGCCACCTAAATATTTTTATGGGGAAATTTAGGAAACCCTGACTCGGTGCCAAAGGCCACCCGTCCATCATCACCAAAGTTGCCTCGGCTCGAGAGCTTGGGTACGATTGGGGAAGGTCAGCTGTGAGCACCCCCTCTCGCCCGATCCGAAGATTGGCCTCTACTAACCGTGATATCCGTTTTTGAAAACGTTATGTGTTCTTATTCCGGTTATTAGCCTAGAATTACTATGTTATGCGCACTGCAAACAAGTATAGACCAAATTGCCTAAATTGGAACAAAACATTTCATGCTTGTTTTGAAAATGGTTTGCTACTTGCAAGTAGGCTGAAATGTAGGTTTTGCCACCCTCAAGTGGGCTTTAGAAAAGATGGTTTTGCCACTATCTAGTGGGCTTGAAACTCACAGTTTTAATGCATTATTCCAATTTAAG